AACAAATTTTTATTTGATTTCTTGTAATAATAATTTTATTTATTAATTTATTTATTAATTTCGTTTTAATTTATATTATTAACTGAATTTTTATAAGCAGATAATTTCATTAATAATCGAAAATGTATCTGTTCCCCAAACACTCAAAAAAATTAAAGTATATTTATTTATTAAAATTAAAGAATTATAAATTCGTTATTAAGTCTTATACCTATATATTGTGGTGCATTGGGCCAGTAGTCCCTCTGAAGTGAAGCATTAGGCGAAGTAAACCACGTAACGACTTGGGTCCTTTTTAGTCGTTCTTAAGTCATGAGAATTGCTCTGTATATTTAAGAAGTTTCAGATTATAATTTAATCATCTTCATTAAAATTTAATTTAACTTTAAGTGCATAACTTTAACTTTAAGGTGCAGTTGGGATATCGCAGATAGTTTGACTTACTCTACAAGAATCAAATCCCTACTAAGAGCTCTAGCAAGTTATTATTTTTGTAATTGTTCTCAATTACTAATGGAACGATTATGATCTTTATACAAAGATTTAAGTAATTATTTTATAATCATTAATACTTTTTTCTATATATAAAAGTTCTATATATAACTAAGTTATATGTAATTGATATGTTTTATTTGAATTTTATTACAAATAAATATAAAATATTATTATGAATTATTTATCATTTTATCATAAATTAAAGAATTTTAAGTTTTTTCTAAATATTTTATCCCTAATTGTCAGTCGTTAAGTTTTTTCTATTTGGATTTCGTTCTTTATTGTTTTTAGCGCCATTAATTTCAACTAAAATTTCAAATATATTAAATTATTTTTTTTAAGCATTACTAAAATTAAATAAATATTTCATTAACTGAAAAACAATTACAATTTTATTATCTTTACGTTACTTAAATCATCTGAAAACTATTAGTCAAGCACTAATGCGGTCGTATGCATTTTATACTTGAACTTGAATTTTAAACGCAAAATAGTGTGAAATACACATAATTATACATAGATATATATATTTATAAATATATGTGTAATGAGAAAAACTGAACTAACTGTTATTCGGTGTACGTGCAATTACATCTTCCATTTACCGTTCGAGCAGCGCTTAGTCGAATCGAGTGCATCATAAACACGATCATGTGCATGAAAAATTTCAAAAGTGAGATACTTTTGAAAGCGAATACGTGAATTGCATTCAGTACTCGTCGCATAGCACACATTGCGACATTCATATTGTATCTTGAAAAAGTACGGTTTGTCTAACAATGCATACTGTCAACTCCGACAACGTCGTAACTAATAGGTAGACCAAAACAACTGAAACACTGAGTCATCATCTGCAGTACATTGAGCTGCATTGAGTTTTTTATTGTAGAAAATGCTTAACTGTCAGATACGATGTTGTAATTTTTATCCATAGTCTTTTGTTTTTCTATAATTAACATTGAACTTGCACTTGAGATTCATTTGTTGTGAATAAGCAATTACGCCTACAACAATTATATATATGTTTTGTTTATAATGTCAATACATCATCAAAATAAAATAGTTACACTTACATGTGAATTATCAGAGATATAATAATTTAACACTGTGCTATATATAATAATATTACATTACCAGAATAATAAAACTGATAATTTCAATTATCTAATATTTGTTACGTCAAGTTTGTATGTACACGATTACAATGCATTTACTTTCTTTATAGTTCAGATTATTACGTGATATTGTAAATTATAGATTTATGGAGCCATAATTCATCAAATAGGTGCTATATTACGTCTTTATTATCTGAATATATAAACAAACTGTTATTATCATTTAAATATAGTTGAAATAATAACGGTATAAAGGCTTTATACGAGTATAGTAATTACTACTAAGAATTAAATTTATCTTTTATTTTATGATACTAGATAGTTTCTGGTAGCTTTAAGTCTTGCTTCTTTCAAACTTCACAAGAAAAAAGAATTTTGAACGTTTTTTATTCATTTTAGTTTAGTAACTTTATAATAACATTAGAAAAAACTAAATATTCTTTAATTAAGGATTGAGTGCCAAACCAAAGATGTCCTGTTTATTTTGTTCCTCTGCAAAAACTATTCTTTAGTGAACTGTGGTGTATATAGAAGGAGCAAATGTAATACACCATTTTACACTAGACTTATTCGATATTCTGAAATTAAATTTTTCAAATGAAACTTAAATTAATTTATAAAAATTCCCGCTAAAATACGTCTAGTATATACTATTGTTTCTGTCTCAATACAGAGATTGAAACGATCAAAAATTAATCATATCAAATGAATGTTTTAAATTCATACAAGTTCTACAAGTCAATATAAATTACAATTGACAAATGTATTATTTGGAACACATGAAAATCCTAAGCTACCAAATCAGGTGAATACGATCAGAATTGGCCTCAATGACGCATTTAATTAACAATAGATGTGACCTCTTTACAAATATCTGTTATCAAAAAGTATTGTTTACTTTCAAACGTATTCTATTCTATATATTCTATTATTATTCTATTTTATTAAGGGTTTAACTCGAATTAGATTAATAACCCCTTCCACTGTACTCGTAATTTCTTTGCTGGTTTGAGACTTCAGCGCTCATAAATTATATTTTGACATTCGTAATTACACAAATTAACGAATTCTAAATATTTTCCATATTTATTTACACAAACACACATACTCGTACCCAAATACAATCATATCTTAATTGCATTATAAAGTCATAATTTTCTTTATTATGATATTGTAAAGTCAGTCATAAACTGTGATAAGTGAATTAACCGTTTTTTTTCTTCTGATTTCTAAAAGAAATATTTCGAGCTGAAACGTGCCGGAATAATTTAATTATAGTAAATTATCATTAATAAAAACATAAAATGTATTGACGCAATAATAATAAAGAATATTTGCGAAAATGATTTATGAAAAATTGAAACGGTAATCATTAGAAATTTGAAATTCACGTGTCACGTTCAGTTGCATGAATTCCATCGATCGAGTAGGTGGTTCAGATACAATCGCACACCCAATAACTCGAAATAGACATCATTCTTTTGTGTTAGACTACATAACATAATAGCTAAATATTCGTTGAATGCTAATAGAATTGATAAATATATTCATTTCTTATGGATTATAAATACCGCAATAAGAAAATAAAGTCAATATCGCAATATAGAAAAGTTTGATGTATTTAAATGTTTAGGGCAGCATAATTTTAGGCTTTATGTATGTGTATATGTTTTCAATTTTTGATATTATATCAAAAAGAATTTATCTAAAGAAAGACTATACGTAGTAACTCCCGATAGAATCCTGAAGACTACCAAACAATAGGCACGAAAGACAGTATTAGTAGGAATCAACATCGTTCAATTGAAAAAGTAATTAAGTCAAATATTGCAAGAACGGATGTTAAACTAAATAAACTAAATGTTTTTAAATGTTGGATTGTATTAAAAAATATAATGTTGATTTACACTTTTCTTAAATTTTATTTTAATTCTTAACATATAAAATAAGAATCATGAAATGGCAAAAGGAACACTGAATTGGACAGAGATATATACAAAAAGGAAAAAGTAGAAGAGAAATAAAAATTTCATTACAATTTTGAAAAATAAATCAGAAAAATGTTTTTCACTTCACAGAAATCTTTATAATAATACACAATATCATGATAACAAAAAAAAAATTTATTTGAAAAATAATGAAAGAACAAACTAATTATTACATATAGAGTGTATGTAAATTTCATAGGAAAATTGTTTTAGTATACAATTTAATTTAAATTTTTAATTTCTTAAAAAAGGAAATAAGTAAATAAGAATATAAATATATACAACTAAACTTTTTGTTAGAAGCACTTAATCAAATATAATAAAAGGAAAAATTTCTGGAAAAAGTGAGTTATACCTTAGCGTTAAAAATATGAAGAGGAATTAAGAAGCAATATATCACAAAACATGATATATACCTTAAATACACAAATATCTGAATGTAAAATGAAGTCTGGTAGATAAAATTATTAAAAAATAATTTGAAATTATATTAATCGTATAAAATATGTTTTTAAATAACTTAACATCAAAATCTTTATTAATGTATTTATCTCAAGAATATATATTTCACATATATATATTTAGTATCCTACATCAGTTTTAACTTAGCTGGCGTTTAACTCAAATGATTTTTAGTAGAGATAAAAGTGACCCAAAATATTCTCACAAGACCTTAACCTCTACGCAAAATAAATGAAGATAATTTCTGTGGTATATATTCCGGTCTGGATGCACTACTCTGTTATTCTTATGGTTTTCGACTTTGCACTTAATTACCCGCTAAAAATTTTAAACTCGTTTGAAATGAAAAAAATTAATTTTTAATGCAGACAACATAAAAATAAAATTAATAAAAATATAACAAATTCAGAAAAATATTAAAAATTTCAAAAATATTAAGAATTAAAAAAGTTATTAAAATTTAAAAACTGCTATTAAAAAGTAAATATTCTGAAACTTTTTAAACATCAATAAAGTTGTTGGACATGAAAAAATTCATCAAAATTAATTAACTATTATTAATTAAAATATTAAAAATGAATAAACTTAAAAGATTTATGCAAGTTTTTTTAATTTTTAAAACTGAAATAAATTTATATATATATTATAAAAAATTCAATTCACTCGATAATTTTTTTAATGCAACAAATTTTTTTTAAACTTAAGTTAATTAAAGTCCTACTTAAGACTTCTAATTATTAAAACATAAATAATGCTAATTCACTTTGCACATTTTTCTCATATTCTTTCAGCTAAACTTCGCTTGACTTAACATAATTAGTTTTATTGACAGAAATTAAAGCAAAAATTACTTTTTAATGAAAAAAAAAACAACAACAAAAACGAAATGTAACGCACAAAAAATAAACCAAAAATGTAGGTAAACAAAACTGCAACTCACATGTTGCTTGAAACTGGTACAGGCGGCTTATAACTGGTTCATGTGTCCTTGTCCTTCAACGGTGAAAACAAAATCAACACACCAAAGAAATTCAATTTGCATGCGTTTTAGTGGTAAAACAAAAAAAAAAAACAAAAAAGAAAAAAGACAAAAATGCTGGCAGCACGTTTTTGAATTAACAGAAGAAAAAAAAACGGTATAAACTGTTATATACAAAACAACGCCAAAAGCAAACGTTGTTGTTGTGTTTACTGATTTACAGAGTTACAGAGTCTACACTTGTCTTTTCTTATACGCTTTTTATACGAAAATTTAAGCACATTTATTCATTTTTATTTATGAGTATAATAAGTTTATTTAAATATGTATGTATATAAAAATGTAAATAATTTTAATTTATTTCTTACTATACCATATGTTTAAAAAATTATTATAGCCGTTGCTGTATAAAACTTCGATCGCTTTAACAATAATTTATTTATCTTTATGAATATATTAATATTTTTTCACTTAAAATTGTTTAATCAAATTTAACTTAAAAATGAAATAATTAAAACCGGAGCGAAAATTTTCAGACGAACAGTTACGGTCGACAGCTGCCACAGCAGTGAAATTACCTACGTTAATTGATCGTTTAAGTATTGCATTAAAAAATATAATATAAATAAAAATGAAACAACGACATAAACAACAAAAACAACAAAACCAACAAATTCAGCTTTGCTTCACTTTTTAACTGTGTAATATACACATAATGAACACACACCAATAACACAGTTACACACCAACTAACTGTGTTTTATTTTGTGATTAACATTTAATAAAGGAGTTTATCTATCGCACACTTGGCAATGCCAGTCGACAAACCCTTTGACACCCACACGCACAAATAGATCAAGACTCATTTTCATTTGCACATTAACTGTGCATATTTACACTTTTCTATGTGAAATGAAATAACTTTCTCATTCCTTCCTACATTTGCGCTCTCACCCTTTTGAGTGTATTTTTTCGTTCGTTTATAAACGAGCTTGTTTGGTTTGAGTTTATTTGCAAATAAATTTTTATTGACACCATAAACATTTATTTGACTGATATTTTTATTGTGTTAATTCGCGAGTGTAGCGAATGCTGCCAACACGATGAGGTGTCAATTTGTTATAATTGTTAACGTCAATATATTGGCTGCTTGCGTTTGGTTTGCAAAATGCGATGCGATGCGATCGCTTCGTTTCGCTTCGTCGTTGGTCGGATTTGTGTGACAGATTAAATAGGGAGTTAGAGCAGGGAGGAGGAATTATAACAAATTAGATGTAGGTATTCTTACAAGGGAATATTTTAAAAATCTTAATTTTATAAAAACATTTGGTTTTAAAAATTTAATATTTAAAAAAAATATTTGAAATTTAAAATATTCTCAGAAAAAGAAAAAAAAATGTGTATGGAAAGTTTTACATAGTTTGCATTTAAAAAAAAATCAATAATTATATATTATAAATATAAGCAATTTATATATATGTAAATATGTAGTAATATTTGTTTAAATAATTATTATTAATATTATTATTATTATTACTAAAACTATAATAAAAGAGCACGTTGTGCATTGCGACCTGAAAAATTTATTGTGCCCCTCAGTCAGGTTAGAGTGTTTCTCCAAGTCCGATTTCTTTAATGAAAGACAGTATAGAGCCTATCTTTCCTAGTCTTAAGTCCTTATAATCCATGAAATATCCTCCTTCGTGTTTCTTCTGATTGTGCATCAGTGGTGGGCATTCTCCGGCACTAATTAGTGATATATTATATCACTATGATTAATAACAATAGTTTATTGATTGGTGTTGAATATAGGAATTAATAAAATAATGAGGTTATGTTGAATAAGTTTCATGGAAGATTTCCTTTTATATCACATAATTATTAGCTCACTTTTATGCGTCTTCTGTTTCCAGTATTGGAAATATTTTATGAAGAGGTTTTAAACGGAATCCACAAATCTTATTGCGCCGCTTTTTTTTTATTATTACTTAGCAAATACCAGTGCTGTTACTTGTTGTTGTAATGCATACATTTAAGTTGAGTTGAGCACAGATTCTTGAGCAGCTCGCGTGAAGTAAAATTAAAGGGTTACTTTGCATATGACATCCATTTAATTTTCCATTTTCTTATTTTCTTGTACGTACAAGTACAAGTAACTCAGCCGACTTTGTAGCGAGAACTTCTCCAATATCTGATTTAATTTTTAAGATAAATGATATTGAAGATGTTTTTCTTTATTTTACTACCGGTATATATCTTTTTCGTCTTCTTGCTGATAATGTGGTTGCAGTTATTTTCATTATTGTTGTAATTATATAATGTATATGCATTTCATACTATGCGAGTTAACTGATTCACCTTCTATATATTATATATATATTATAATATAATATTAATTCACAGAAAATAAAGATGAAATTCAAATACATTGCATTTATTTTAAAAAATAAGATAAAAAAATCGTTTGTTTATATATCATAAAAATAGAGATGAATAGAGCAGATTACTCACACACATGGCGAATGTCTGAACGATGTAATTTATCTTCAACCGCTACTTTATTAAATGACTTCCCCTTTTTGTAATTATACCACAATTAGTCATCACAGTAAAATCCAAATATTAAAGTGTGCTGAAATATTAAAATTAAATATTTTTCTTATGATAGATCTCTTATGGACTGATCTATCAAAATTAGGTTGAGTGATTTATTTCAT